TCTTTTATTGTAAAACTGGGCGATGTTGCATTAATCTGTACCAACATTGTTAAAGCTCTTTTGAAAAGCTGAAGTTTCAATTAGGTGCCTAGAATGATCAGCAAAACAGAACAAAAGCTAACAAGTCTTTAAAACAACTAAACATGTATCTACAATTTTAGACACCTTGAAGATTTGTAGCATAAAGAACGCAACAAAAAACATTCTCAGTGAGATACACGGAGATAAGGCCTTTTAATTCCTTTTCTTAGCATAAACCCTTAAACGTTTGTACTGAAAATTCACCTGCACTGCAGTGATCTTAAAGCAGACAGATGGGACAGATATAAAAGTGATTTTTTTTGATGGCATCTGTTTCCTGCATATTAACTGTATGAAACAGTTTTGCAAGATGAACTTACCCAGAACTGTAAAAGCAAAACATTTATGGGGTAATTGAGGTCTTCAGGAGTTATGCAAGAATTTTCCCAAGATGGAGATTGCAGTAGGTGAATGGAAAATACTCTGAAATCTATTTCCTCCTAACCACTGCTTTTATGTGTATCTGCATATCAAACACATCAGTGGATTTATCAATGAAAAAGCATTATTTTAAGAGTTTTCATCTAACCTGTGGATTTTAATTGACACAAATTTTACCTACTCTTACTGAAAGATAATTATTCTCCATGGAAGCATTTGAATACTGCTCAACTTGATAAATACTCCCGTTTAATATGATTCATCATGAGGGGAGCAAAGAAATAGAAATAAGTTTCATGTAAATGCCACGTGAACTGATTTTTTTTTTTCCGGCTTTTTAATTGCACTCAGAATCTAAAATTAAGGTGCTTTTGTTGTTTAAGTTTTGTAAAGTGATTTCAGAGTTACGTATGAAAGGATTTTGAGAGAGAAGATGCAACATGAATCAGGAACTGTAAAAAAAAAAAAAAAAGTTTATGATAACAGATTGTAGGGGGCAGAAGCTAAAATCATCTGTGTGTGAGCTCACCTTATTTCACAAATGAGTTATCTGGAAGTAAAAACAAATAGCATACTAAATGTCTCAGGTGATACTAATTCAAGGAGAGTCATAAACACCAAAACAAGATTGAAAGAAAAAAAAAAATAACAGATGGAAAGCAAAGGGAAGCTGCAAAAGGCTGACTTTTCCAAGATCCTGAATCAAAGTAGATTTGTACAGTATCTAAATGTTAAATGTTTTAGTTTGCAGGGCAACATGAAGTGGATGTGCAGACATAAAAACAGTGTGAAGTGAGATTCTCTACAGCCTACAGAAACCTCATAGAAGAATGGAGCAGAGGAAAATGAAGTAGTTTCAGCTTTTAAGAATTCAAACTTGTCTCATCCCTCTACGTGTGATTTTTGTCAGCTCTACAGAGAGGAAAAAGTTGGGAATCTGGGAAAATTAAAATTAAAAAAAAAAAAAAAAAAAAAACAAAAAAAAAAAAAACATCAAAACCAGTCAAACACTAGGAAGAATTCATTTCACTTACATTACCTGTGCTAGACAACTGCACTGGAAACAGGAATGTTGCCTTTTGGGGGCACCTGTCTTTCTCCTTTGATTAACCTGGATCAGATGTGTAATGATGGAAGGAGTGGTGTTAGGAGAGATTAATCCCATCTCTTGTATAGGAAACTTCCTCCTTATTATTTTCTTGCAGTAATTACTGGTGGCTGCCGTGGACCATCTGTGGTAGCTGTGCTTTAAGGTAGTCGTCTGTTTCTTAGGGTTTCCATGTCAAAATGGAAGGAACAGTAATAAATGGATGTCCTGTTCCTGGAGGTTTTCAAGGACAGGTTGGATGGGACCCTGGGCAACCAGGTCTAGTATTAAATGTGGAGGTTGGTGGTCCTGGCTGTGGCTCTTTGCATCTCTGCCTTTGTTAATTTGTTAGCTGTGCCTATTACACAAGGATGGACAGAAGTTTGAGTGGTGGAAAATTTTGGAAAAATATTTTTAACTTGCTGCCAATTAAAAGCTTGAAATAAGGTATTTTGATTGGGTTTTACAAGTGAAAATCAACCTCAATATGGTCTGTGTTGATTCAAGTAAATTTTAATGTACTATCACACTGAGTGGATAAAACAGCCATGAATTTCTTATGAAAATAATTGTATTTTATAGCATTTTTTTTTTTTCTCTTGAACGTGATGATAGTAAGCTATGTAATCTGAAAACTTACTGTAGAGATTTTGGCATTCCTACCTGCAAGTCCACTTTTAGAAAGCAAAGGTATTATACTAGCTTGGGTCCAAAGGACAACCTTCTTTATTTGCTGCTTCTTATCGTCCTTATCTTCCATACCAAACTGTCTCGATTCTTATTCAGCTTATAAGGCAACCTGCTAGAACTGTTTTTTTTTTTTTTAATTGTGGTAGTTAAGCTACTGTAGTAATAGTATTTGTTGATGCTACTGTAGGAATACAGAAGTCTTTCTGAGTTTGAACACTTTACCTTTGTCTTCGCTAATGAGGTAGAGCTGATTTTTTTATTTTTTGCTATTTTATTGCAGCATAAAGAAAAGCAGAAGGGAAATAAAATGCCATTTAGATTCACATCAGTAGAAGAATAAAATAAGGCTAATTAGACATATTCACTGTGCTGATAATGCTCTGGTGGTGTGTAGTATGTAACAGTGTTTTTACCAACCTGTTGTGTAACTCAGTTGTTGTAAAATCAGTACAATACCCAAATTCCTTTAGAGAACTGGGAGGAAGTGGCTGCCATTGCTATTAAGCTAGTTACTCATGGTGTGAACTAGTGCTCCTTTCATTGGAAGGCAATTCTCTGTGCTGTCTAACCAATCAGTTTTAGAGATCCTTTTAAAGAACTGTTTATCAACACAGCTGTTGAGAGTCTTGTACCACATTAGTAAGCAGTGTGTGCACTGCAATGTGCAGGTGTTGAAATAATTTTTCAGTATTTTTCCTTATAGCAGAATGCACATAAACTCCCAGATTCATCTGCACATAACTCTAGTCTCTTAAAATGAGGTGTCTGGAATAGGAATGCAGTTGCTACGTTCAGTAGGGAGTGAAAGGCATTTGTGAGGGGCTTAAATTTCAGAAAGTACGTGCCAGCAGCCCTCTGAAAGTTAAATCTTTTAAGAAGGTTAAGATACTGAAGAATTGGTTTCAACAGTCAAGCCTGAATATTAAATTGAAAGCCATGCATTTTCAAGTGAAAATTCTTCCTTGTGATTCTAGCCACTATTGAACAGATGGATAGGAATAACCGATAGAGCAGGGAGATGGGTTTCTTCCAGAGCTTTTAGGTGACTCATTTAAGGTGTTGGTGATAACCATTATTGTAGAATGTCTCCAATTTGTTCTAATGCTCAGTGGAATTTGAGGAACTTAGACAATTAAGTCAGACTTTGGAGGAATCCAAATTCCACTGTCAGACCAAATATGACATAATACGAGGCAGGAGGATTTAGTAGATAAATTCATTGCTAAGGCTAGAAGTTTTTAAATCACAAAGGCTGGGTGTTCTAGTGCTTATCTTTTGTTTTGCTGTTGAAATCAAATACAGATGTGTGATTACTAATTTGACCTAGTTAGTTGAAGAATTGCCTGAGATAATTACTGGTCATTCTAAAGCCACAGGCAAAATTCACAGTTTCCTTGTAGTTTTAAGTCTGTTTCCTGAGGAAGTTTATTTAAAAAAAAAAAAAAAAAAAAAAAAGTTTGTGGTGGAATTTCAGTTACCATTTGTGGTGTGAAGGATTCTGCTTAGTATCCTGTAACTATTTCTGTTTCATAGAAAAAATTATCAAAAATAACAGAAATATTTACAACATGTAATCCAAGGTCAAACAATACATGTGTTTAAGTGTAGACTATGACTTCTTGTCTGCTTGTATTCTGGAATATGATGTCATTACTGTCTTTTACCACATATTTATCCAGAAATGTATCCAGACCATGTTTTGCATCTGTGATTCTTCACAGCTTTTATATTTGTGTCCAGTTCTGGGCTCCCCAGTTCAGAGAAGACAGGGATCTCCTAGGAGTCCACTGGAGGGTCACAAAAATGTTGAAGGGTCTGGAGCACCTCCCACGTGAGGAAAGTCTGAGTAATCTCAGGAAAAGAAGATTGTGGAGGATCTGATTTATATAAATATCTGAAGGGAGATGGGAAGCAAATGGATGGGCCAGGTTCTTCTAGGTGGTGCGTAATAATAGGACAAGGAGTAATGGCCTGAAACCTGACATAGGATGGCCTGTACAAACATGCAGAAGTACTTCTTTGTGGTAAGGGTGACAGCGCTGGAACAGGTTGCCAAGAGAGGTTGTGAGGTCTTCTATGGAGATATTCAAGACCTGTGCAACCTATTGCAGGGTGCCTGCTTTAGCAGTGGGTTTGGACTCGATCTCTGGAGGTCCCTTCCAACCCCTGTGATTCTATGATTTATTTCGTTATTGCCAAGGAGGAAGTAAATTTGCACAAGATGTTTGTTTGCTTTCATTTATGGATAACTGAAATGGAGCAAGTTATTCAGTGTATGAACAGCGCAAAAATGGTTAAACGCATCCAAGCAAATTCAGTAATCCAGGAAAAACATTCAGGCTTTATGCAACACAGACTGCAGACTTTTGCCTCTGTAGGTTCTCAGCACTAGATAATGCTAAAGGCAGTGTGGCAGAAGGTGCTGCTGGAATGAAGGTGAGATGAATTGAACTACTAATGTGGAGTCAGTCAGCTTGAGGAGGGGCTGTGTATGAAAGATTAAACCTGATGTATGAGGTAATAACTTTTTAAGGGAAAAAAAAAAAACCTTTTTTTTAAAAAAAAAAAAAAAAATTCTCACAGTATTGTCTTCTTTCCTTGCAAGGATTTGCAGTTTGTAATTATCCCTTCTGTTGCTAGTGAGGAAAAAAGGCAAAAAATATTTAATAGTAGTGTAATTCTTTTTATAAATATAGCAACTGAATTCATAACACTGTTGTTTACTAGATTCTATTATCTCCTGCTGGTCTTCATGTTGTAGGTGATATATGCACTGAACACTAAGAATGATGAACATGAAGATAGTATACAGGCTCTGAGAGAAGCTCATGAAGAAGAAGTTCAGCACATTCTCGCTGAGATGAAGGAAGCTATTCTCCAGTACAAAAGTAAAGTTGAAGAAGAACAGTTGCTGAGAAAACATATTCAAGCCCTTGAAACTGCAGTAGAACAACACAGGAAACTAAAGGAAGAAGCCTTGGCAGAGTTAACGTTGTGCAAGAAGCAGGTGGAAGAGAGGGAACCAAGAGCAGAAGTAAAAGTCACACATGTGGCCCTTTCCACAGACACAGTAGATACTAATGCAGACTTTGAAAACAAACTGACCAATGGACAACAAAATGAATGCAAACTATCTAGGAGGGATAATTTAGATGAAGATATTTTTGCTGAAAAATTGAGCATGGAGCGACAAGTTCTAATAAATGAAATGGAAAACCTGAGGAGTGAGAACCAAGGAGCAATTAAAGAATATACTCAGAAAACAAACCAACTGCGAGCCTCCTGTGAGAGGGGAAGAGAGTCTTTGAAAAAGTCTACACAGCAATCTATGACAGAAACAAAGAATCTTCATCAGCAAAGAGAAATGGAGCAAAGAAATTGGTCAGAGGCTGAGAAAGGTTTTTGGATGCAGCAGGTAAAGAAACTGGAGGCAGACCTAGAGGAGAAAAGTCAGAAGATAAATGAGAGGAAGAAACATTCCCAGAAGCTCAAAGAAAGAATACAGGTAAAGTATAAGACTGTGCTCTTTATCTCTGCCTATTGAAGTGCAAATTATAATTCTTTAAAATTTGGGGAAGGAGAAATCTAAGTTTCATTTTGATTTAAATGCTTTGTAAGCATTAGAGCAGTGCTTGAGACTCGGGGCAGAAATGGAAGGTTATAGTGCGGAGAGTTTTAAAGAATGACTGTAAATGATTCATTAGTACATAGCATTCATGAGAAATGAACAATAGAGACATGAGAATTTACGCATGTGATTTACTCTTTTGCTTAACAATGTAAGAGAAACAGTGTTTCAGGTATAAAAAAAGTCAGAATGCCGTAGAAACTGGAAATAAGCGGATGGTGTCTTTGGTGATTTGATTTTTTACATTCAATATCAGCTAGATAAAACTGAAATCTTTTCTGATAGCCATATACTCAACCTATGTGCACTTCAGATCCTCTAAGACTGTGAAATGAGGCTGAATTATGACCAACTTAGAAATTGCCTTGAATCTTTAAAGCAGGGGCATCCATCCCATGCCACTTGCCCCTTGCCATCATAGCGGTGGCCAGTGGCTGGCAAAACCCATCTCTCAGCAATGACCAAACATCAGTGTGCTGTTAACCCTATCTAGTCTGAAACCAGGACATGGAGTGAGAACAGTGCTGAGTTAACTCAAGTGGTGGCAAATAATGGTAGGAATTTAGATACATTGGCTAACCACAGTTCTTTGAGCAGCAGAAAATATGCAGCTGTGCTTTCCATTGTGATAATGGAATTTGAGAACAAGTTTTAAGATTGCGAAAAAGTTATCATTTTTCTTAGTATATTTGTGATTCCATTTTCAGCCAGCATAAATACTCCACCTGCAGATTTTCAAATGGAATGTACAGACATTCAATTCAAAAAATCTGAACTTGTCTCTCTACTGGACTTTCCTTTCTGCTAAGAAAGAGCTTATAAATATTCTTCGCTTAATTGTCACATTTTATTCACATAATCACTGTTGGGCAGTGTGTATATTTGTGAACAACTGTGTTCAAGGATGAAGGAAAAATAAAATTTCATCAAAAATCTCATTTGTTAACTTTTAGTACAGATTGTCAGGAAATTAAAGGAGTTATGGCCTGTTACAAGTTTAGGATAATTATAGGCATATTTTAGATGGTAACTCTTTGGGTGTTCACCTTACAATGACGCTTGCTGAGGGAATGGCTCCACTTTACAAATGTTCTGGCAGCAGATTTAATTTAAGTGTATGGAAGAGAAGAAGGTTATTTTGAACAAGCTCTTTTGGTGAAAGATCATTATAATGGAACTGCACCAAAAGAGGGGAAAAAAAAAACAACTATTTCAGATGACAAAAAAATGAATGTATATAATGAAGCACAATACATGCTTTAGGATTTTGAGGTGTAGCTTAAGGGAATACAGCAGGAAATTCTGGGATCAAAAAAATGTGGAGGAAGATCTAAGTGTAGTAAAAGAGAGGAATATGCTTCAGCAGAAGGAAATCCTGCAAAAAGCAGGTAAAATGCTCATTAATGTCATTCTGAATTATTTCCCTTGTTATTCATTCTCATTGCAAATTCCACAAGTTAGTTATGCTATTTGAAATGCAAATGTTGCTTCTGTAGAAGGTTGGGAAGCTCTATTGAATTCCCAGAGCAAAGCTGCAAATGAAGTAGATGAACTAAAGCATCAAATAATTCAACTGCAGCAAATGACTTCTACCAAACAAAGCCAAAACAAGAGAGGCTCTGAAGACATGTGAGAGCTTAATCAGATGGTTTGCTCTTAAACACTCAAAGCCACAGCATGCTGAAATCAATATACTGAAATCAATGTCATTTTTCTTGCAATGTTCTTTCTTGTTTTGGGGTTATTCTAAAGAAATCAGTCTTGTGGGATTCTTAGACCTCCGGCCTCATTCAATGGAACACTGACTCATGTTCATAACTTCAAGAGTTGCTCAGTGATAGCAAAGGAACTGTTGATATCCTTAAAATGAAATTGATCTAGACCAGGGTGGCATTCAACTTCTATAACTAAGAAGTGGAAGGAAACAAATCAGACTTTCTCTGAGGTTCAATTGAAACACAAACTTTTAAAATTATTTTTTAGTAAAGAACAAAGTCTGTTCTTCTGAAAAGCTAAACAGAAGTAATACCAGAAATAGTCAGTATGATGACTGGTTGTATCCTGAGAGTTCCCTCTGTACAACGTCTTCCCCTGTTGACTGTCCAGACACAAATCTTTTCTGTGTGAGGATGTATAGACAGATACAGAAATATATATTTAATTCCTGGAAGTCTATTAAAGCTAGCATTGTGTAAAATTAGAATTGCTATTGGAAACGTAACAAAAAAAAAAACAAATCACCCCCTGTACTTTTCCGAAGAACTGAAGTTGTCCTTGAGGAAGCCTCCATACTTGAAAATGAGACACGCACCCAAAGCTGAAGCAAAATAGGAAAACAAACAAACAAAAAACAGCAACAACAACAAAACCCCAACCAGACCTAGACTGAAGATGAGTAATACAACCCTGCATGGTTATAGTTCAATATTGTTTACTGAAATACAGCACTTTTCAACAGAGGATACCCACTGAAGTAGAGTATTCCCTACAAGATGGGTAACGGTCCCCAGAATTCTACCTTGGTTTTGTCAAGTTATATAACGAATGTGATTTATAAATTATGAAAGGTGTAGCTAATTAAAAAAGGTATGAATTAAAAGACACAAAGAACTTGCATTGTAAAGGCAACTATCAGTTCCGTAAGGGGAAGACTTGTCTGAAGGAATGCTGTTGAATGGGTTGGAAGATTCATAATGAAGCATATGAAGGTAATCAAGTTAATCTAAAACTTCAAGCAAGCTGCAGAAAGCAGGAGGTAGAAATGTTCTATTTATAGAAGCTCTAATTCATCTGTTTTTAATCTTATTGGTCACAGTGACATCATTTGATTTATCCTTACTGGAGGCATTTTGAATCATAAAATGGAGGATTTTCTTGCTGTGGTATTACTAAGAGGAAAAGAAAAAAATGGAGGGGAAAAAATGTCAAGCTGATGTATTTTTTGCATAAAGCTCCAGAGGCAGGAAGGTGACTTTATCCTTGATGTGACGAACTGCCTTCTTAGCAACACTTAGAATTACATGCTTTTCATGTGGCAGCTGGAGTGATTAATGTGAGTTCACTCCTGAAGAAATATGTATTGTGGGTGTATTCCAATTTCTGACTTCAATTTCCATGGATCTCTGCTATGAAATACTCAAATACTTTGATTTAATCAAAATTTGGCATTGTTTAGGCTGAGGAACTAGTTCTACGAAGTGTTAGTAAATGGATTTGGAAGGCAGGTGTTCTTAGTGACACGACCACTAGTTACAAATGAAAACATGAGTGTGTATGCATGACCTTATTTAAGTTAAGTCACAAAGAATGATTGTCTTTGTGGATTCAGACAAGTATCCTGAGCAGTGCCCTCTCTCACTGTGTTGCAAATGGCTGATCTTTAATTTTCTTATTGGTACACATTAGCAACAATTGACTTAAGACATTCTTCAGAGAATTCCACCTTTGTGAGAAGTGCTGTGATAAATTCTGTTATCTTACCTAGCAGTCCCTTGTAGATTTGCAGTCTGTAATGTTTCTGTGCAGTAGGAACACCAGTGGGGGCAGAAATGCATTGAAATGTAGGGCAATGTGTTTAATTTTAAGCGTGTGTTTTAACGTGCAGTGATGCTCACACTCAGTGTGTGTCTAAGCAGTTTGCCAAACTAGAGTGCAAATTAAGGCCAGATCTATTCTTCATCTCCTACTGTATTTTGTGTGATGTGTTTCTCAGGATCTTATTAGACAAAAGAAATAAGCACATGTATTAGAGCAGACTGTAGAACTGAACAATCAGGCTGGCCAAGTGTTCTATAGATCTCTATTGTTGCTTTTTGTTTTTCACGGTTTTAATGCTGCTGTACCTTTCCAAGTTCAACATCTTTGAGAATAATCAAAACTCTTGCGGATGAGTTCTGAAGTCATGGAAGGAGTTCTGTCACTTAATGCTATGTTTTGTAGTCCTTTCCAGATTCTGGAGGCTAGGAATTGTGTTAAGTGCTCTTCAGAAGAATTCATTTCTGTTTATGAAACTGCTGAAGTTTGTGCATTTGTGCACTACCACTTCTCATAAAGGAATCTATGAGAGTAAATTATTTTATCTGGTTGTGAGAGATCTGTGTGTGAAGATACAGTATTTCAAGGAAGGTAGTTGCACTATCAAGTGTAAGCCTTACTAAAATGACTTTGTCTGTTACATGCAGTATTGTTTTATGAGGATGGTTTTGTACAAGTTATACTTAAAATGATGTGACAAGCTCTTCACGCAAGTCAGATCAAACTTAAATGCTGTTCATTTCATAATATAGTTTTTTTTTTTTTTAAGTAGATGTTTATTACTTCTAGGCAACAAATATTATTGCTTATAATCATCTCTTCTTAGAGCGTTGCAGAAAGTTACTAAGGAAATCTTAAGTAAATTGTGTACTCTTTTGTTTCTGGACTTAAGGAACTCCAGATGCAGCTAGAGGAATTTAAAAGAAAATCTGAGTGTGAAATAAAGCAACTAGAGAAAGAAAAAGAAGCCCTAACTGGGAAACTTCAAAACTCTTCACTTGAGGTAAGCTTAGTCATAAATGTAAGTTAGTAATAAAAGGGCTTTTCATTTTTTCTTCTGGACGACTCTCGATTACATGTGTAACAGGTTGCCCAGAGATGTGATGGATGCCCCATCCTTGAAGGTATTCAAGGTCAGGCTGGACCATGCTCTGTAAATACAAATGTCCCTGTTCCCAGCAGGGAAGCTGGACTAGATGGCCTTTGTGGTTCCCTTCCAACTCAAACAATTCTATAATTCTGTGTAATCATATTTGCTGTCATTGTCATTCAAGAAAATATGCAAGGTAGAAATAACAAAAAACACTTGTTCCTTAATGTCTATGAAGATTTTTGACATGCTTATTTATTTTGATAAATTTCATAATATACCAGTCTCTGGTGTTATATTATGGCTTTATGCTAAGGAATTTGGCTCTATCTGTGTTGTATGGTGACTCTGACTGTTTACCTATGGGGCTGTGTGGATTTGAAATCTTCTGTTTGTTTTTGTTTGTGTGTGTAGACATGTAAAAGGGCTTTCTTGTTTGCTTGCTCCCTTAAGCAAGAAAATTGAATGGTAAGAAAGATTGAGTGGCTCATTATTTTTGCTCTGCCTGCCTGATGAAGTAGCTGATGGGGTGACTGAAGCAGGTTAGAGCATACAGTAGTTCATTTATTAGCAATTATTTACATGTCTATGTTCTCAAGATCAAAAATGAAGTAGAGAAAGCATCATGACTCCAAAGTAACTTTTAAGATTATGTACCTTATGTACTATTCCCTGTTCCAGTTATAGCTAAGTTGCAATAGAAATCTGCTAACATGTATTAATCTGGAAATGAGTACCTGAGATGTTCTGCTATTAGACTGTCCACCTGTGGGTATAGTTAGGTGCAAGCCAAGCAATGCAAATTTTCCAGACTACTTTATCTGCCAAAATATTTGTACAATAAAATGTCATGATTTGAAAAGCCATGCCTGGAGGTTGGATAATTTTCTGTAAAAAAAAAAAAAAAACAAAACAAAACAGAACCCCTGTAAAGCAATTGCTTGACGAGGTAAAGAGTGCTTTCATCCTGAGAAGTGTTTTCTACTTTTTCCTGCCAATCTGGGTTTTAAGAAGCCAAAATATTACCAAAGAAAATCAGAATATTCCCAAATACACAAAGTCCTGTTTAGTTTAAAGTAATGGACAGCAACAGGAATTAGGTAGCTAACACTGCTGAACAAGTGAATTAGAGGTAACCGCTGTTGTTGTGACTGACTGTAATTTCCATCACCTTGTATTTTCACTGCTTCTAAGCAGTTTCACTTCCAGGAAGTTCAGTAGGATCTTGCATAGCAAGAGATGAAACCCGAGATTTTCTCAGCTGGCTTTTGCAATTTCTGAGTGGCTATAATAAGACCTCTTTCGGTGTTCAAAGACAGAGAAAGAACAGATAGACCCATCAGGGGCGTAAGCAAGATGTTGTCCCACCTGCTTTCACTTTCCCCTTCCTTTTATACTGCTTGGTGTGTTGTATATATCAGCAATCACTGCATTTGTTGTGGTCATTTACTATATAATATCTGCTTTTCTCCCCATTCAGCTGTGATAGTTCTGAATGAAATGTAGTCCTCTGCCTGTTCCGGTACCAAACAGTTGCATTCTGACAGTCTGTCCATTACTCACTGTTACAAATGCAGAATATAAATGTAGTTCTTAATCTTCTAAATTTCTGGCTAAGTCCTGGTTTTAGGTTTTATTACACATCTGCATGTCACTGTTTTCTACAGTGTTCTTCATTGGGAGAATTTCAGATCAATCCAACTTGTGTAGGCCTACCCAAGTGGCTTCTTTGCATCTAATGCAATGTGCAGGTTCTTAGAAATCAGTCATCTTTATTCTTTTCTAATCTTCCCTTAAGGGAAAAAAATATCCTAGTCTATTCAAAGCTGAAAACTTATTATGGTATGCTGGCATACGTAGTGCCTGAAAGTTGTACTTATTTGAGGTATAAGGGAAAGAGATGGGTACTGTCCAACCTGATAATATTACATACATTTATGCATATACCATTGGAAGGCCTCAAAGAAATCAAAAGGCTTATTTCATGAAATAATTATTGTTCAGGTTTTGCGGATGCGAAAAGTAAAGCAGTGAGCCATCAAGTTACTTTTCTTGAAATCATGAATTCAGGCCAGAGCAACAGGAGAGGAAGCCTGTTTCCTATCTGCGAGTCCTATGATACTGTGAGTTCATAGTAGATGCAAGGAATGCTGAGAAAATATTGTTGCTAACTACATAAAGCAAGTAATATAGTGTGCATCATATTGTATGTTATATTCACAACATCATGTGAGTATGAACAGATGCGCTAAAAAACAATCCAGTGCATCCTGCAGTCTAACAGTGGTGTGAAAATGGAAATGGTTCCTCTGAAGCAAAAATTTGCATTGTTGTTGGTATTTTTAGTTACTTTCTGAACCAGTTACTTGGAGGTATTGCCTCTAAGCAATTGAAATTACTTCACCAGAGAAATGAAGTAGTTTCAACTTACAGTACTTTCCTTTTATAGATATTTGGCTGTTCACAGCCAACAAACAACCATTCACTGTATCACATTATGTTTCACACAGGGCGTGATTCCCAGCTGGGAACTTTGCAGTGTCTCAGCCCAGAGCTTCCGCCTCAGAGACTAGGCAATGTGCTGTTACTAATCCAGTTTTAACCTGGATGATATTTCACATCTAAAAATAGCTTTCTTAGCAGCATAAGGCATATTTTTGGTTGGGCTGACATAGCTAGAGTACTGTGCAGAGTAGACAGAATCATGATAATTAGTCTTCTCTGGAGACTCACTTCAAAACTGCAGTATTTCCATATCACTGACTTTTTTATTTTTTTCTTGATAAATAAGCCAGATTTACACCTATTTGGTGCCTTGGAAGGAAAGATATAAAGTCCCGTGTGGACTGAATGCTAATTTATTGGAGTCCTGCAATCCCTTACTTTTGCACTACAAGATCTGTTCAACAACTGTAAAGAGACTATTCTGGAATTACAAGGTACATAAAATAGAAGGGCAGGATTCATCAGAACCTTGGTGGCAGGCTTGTGAGTATCATCAAACAATTATAGCAGCTGTAGAGGTGTGCCTGTTGTGCTTACTCCTGTCCCTGCAATCAGGACTTGCCATAAATCTTGGAAAGCAGTTAACTGTGAAGTTAACTGAGGTAACTGAAGTAAGCCTTAAAACAGCAATAAAATAGCATTCTGTTATTATGTTGTTACTACTTCTACTGTGTTACTGCTTTGATGTAGTAGCACCATAGTAAGAGTAAAATTGAGTAGCATTTGAGTACCTTATTTTGTCTGTCATTTTAAATAAAGAAATTAAGTTTCTAAATGAAAATGTTTCAAATGATGAATTCAAATTTTCCTGCTTAATAGCATCGCTATGAAAAAAAAGCTTTTAAAATTTGCCTTGGAATATTTTCAGTTGGGTAACCATTCTGGATTGCTATATTGGCTATCTGGAAAAAATCACTTAGCTCCCTTCTTCAGTGAAGCAAGGGGCTCATTGCATGAAACTGTATTCAATTGTTTCGTTGTATGAAGCATCTTGCTATTTTTCACAGAGCATCACAAGATCATAGAATTTGCTCAGATTTACGTAATTCTTCTCCATTGTTAGTACAGCCATTAATCCTTTCCTGCTTTTCTGGCAGGTGGCTCAGCTGAGGCAAATATTAGACCAACAAGCAGATAATTTCAAGGAGTCACTGAAGAAACACAATCTGCAGTCCAGCAAAGAAAAGGAGAAGCTTTTGCAGGATCTTCAAAACACCATTAAAGAAAACCAGAACGTTAAACTGCAGCTGGAAGCATCACATCAAAAAGTTTTAAAAATGTTGGAGAAAAACAAAAAACAGGAACTCAAGGTCAGTTTATGAGATATGAGTTTAAAAAAAAAAAAAACAAAAAAAAAAAAACAAAAAACAAAAAAAAAAACCAGAAGCGTGGGCTAAACAGTGTTAGAAACCCATGATATCAGCTCACTTATTACCTGTTACCTTAACTGAATGCTGCCATTGTGGCTCATAAGGAGCTATTCTGTGATTTTGAAACCTTTTTATCTTAAGGGTTGGGTTTTTTGTTGGTTTGTGGTGGTGGTGTTTTCATTTTAACTTCTTTTACTGAGATCACAGTATGAATGAAATTATTTCTATAAAATACTGTGTCCTAGTCTGTAGTTAGGCTAAGATGAATGCAAATTTATTTTTATACTATACTATATATAAGCTCCTGTTTTATTAACAGGAATCAGATGCTTTCAAGAAATGAGTTCTATAGGTAGATAATGAAAGCTTCTAAAGGTTCAAGGGGATTTTTTTCAGTGACAAAATGTTATTGCAGTGTAATGAAGTAATGAAGAAAATATCTGTTCGAGTGGAAAAAAAAAAAAAGCTTAAAAGTCTAAATGCACTTGTAGCCTGGATTTAATGTCTCTTTTCTGTATTGCATACGTTAGGGAAAACCTTTTTAAATGCATTTGGTAAAACCCCTATAAAAATGATTTAATGTTTTGTTTACATATTGAGAATCAAATCCCAGCTTTATCAAACCAAGCTGGAGGCAATAGCTGATAAAAATGAAACTGGTAATAGGAGCTTGTTCTCAGAGCCACTACAGAGCAACTACTCCAGCAAGGTATCAGTAGCACTTCCAGTGACAATGAGAAGTTCTGTCCAAGAAAGACTAAATGAAAGATAGAAGCCTTTGTCTGACACAGCGTGATAAGAAAAGGTATTCAGTTCAAATCTGGGTCTCTGGTGAATGGTAAAAACATATTTTAGTGCCAAACATGTCACTGTTGTTGCTTCATTTTGCACAACAAATCTAATAGAAGATGTTGTGATAGTTTATCTTGTCCATATTAAGTTTTCATTTTCATCTTCTGGTCATTTTTATTCTTATGTTGATGAAGTGTCACACAAAATGATGATGAAAATAATAAAAGTTCTGCAGTGAAAGACCAGATTCATCCAGGTTTACAAGTAAACCAATAAGGTGATACATAGGCTCTGACTACTTTCTTTTTGGGGGGAGTGTTTGCTTACAGGAGGCAGAAGAGCGTTTGAAAAAGGAGTTTAATGAGACTTTCAAAATCCAACATCAGTCTCATAGGCTGGAAATGCAAACCTTGGAAGAGAGAGCAAAGAAAGAATTACAGGATGAACTCGAGCAGATACAGAAGCAGCAAACTCTGTTGCTAGGTATAATGCCTTATGCATACACAGCTCCTACTGCTTGATGATATGCTTTGAAGTGGTGGTATTCAACCCATTCATTTTCCTTCCCATTTTCTGGATCATCTCCTTTCCCATACCCTACACTTCCAGCAATACATACTTAGCCTTTGTTTGTTGACCTCACTGTGCTGTCAGCAGCTTGTATACAGCATACAAGTATATATAAATGGATGTATTAAATAGGAAAATTGTATTTAGTATATATATTCCCTCTTTTTTTCTATGTGGAGAAGTATTATTATATGTGATTCAAGTCTTTCTGCTGAGTTCAGCAGTAAGATCTATGGCTACATACGTATTCTTTATTCAGTTTACAAAGCTCCCTGAATAGTTCAGATCTAAACAGAACACTGCGTATGAGAACATGTAATATCTCCAGGCCTACATTCAGGTTATTAAAGCTCACTTATAAAATGCTTCTTAACTAAAGAAATAATAATTTAGAAATACTTCAAGAATAAAGAGAATCTGTTCTTGCTTTTTTTCAATCATTCAAATTTATTAGAAAGATTTGTTGCTCTCTGAAGTTAATACGTTCCATAGATAATTTATGTTCTGCTTCTTCAAGGAAAATTGTAAGAATGAGAGAAGCAAACATCTTTCTCCTTGTACTTGATCCATCCTGGAACTTTTACACAGTCTACAAAATATCAGTACATGACAGATCTGCTTATTTAAGTGTTGCATTTCGATAACACAAACAGAGCTCTCAGCCTTCATTATGGCTTTTTATAAAACAGCAGTGGACTTTGCAATGAAGCTCAAGAGTGCTGCAGTTAAATCCAAGGTTAGAAGAAGCAATTGCAGTGACACAGACCTTACTTCTCTGATTCTGACACTGAGTTGTTGCAGTTGTAGCTCTGCATCTTCGTACTATTGCTTAGTTGAGTTGTCTATTAATAGGTAGGATGATAGGTTGAGGATGTGGTTTTTTTTTTTTTGTTTTCTATTACTGTTTACTAATGGCAAAGGCACCAAGGGAGAAAGCAAAATGTAATGTATTAATGTTTGCATCAACATTGTCTGTATCTACCTCCCCTGCCCACCTGGCCTCCAACTGCCCTAATTATTATCCCTCTGGTGTTATTAGGATCTCTAAGGGTAGAAATTTCTGAGCAACAGACATCATGCACAAATCTCAAAAAACAAATAGAAGAGCTCCAAATGGAGTTGAGGAGCGTGAGGACCTTGAAGAAGCAACAGGCAAGAATCCAGTTCCCACTTCGTTATCTTACTATGTTTTCTGAAAGCAGTAACATGATTTTTCTCTCTCCGAGCATAATATTCTCTTGCAGAAATACAGTCGGTTTCCTTTCTTCATGTCGTACTTAAAAATGTTAACCTTGCTTATCAGCTTTTCCCTACAGGCAGGCTTTTTTTGATTTAAAGATTGAGTCTTCAACACAAGTAAATGAATGAGCATTACAAAAATGTATGTTTTATGGAGAATATAATGCATGTTTGGGAAAATGTGATCACAGATTTTGTCACACACATAGAATTTCACGTAAATTTGATGAATCAGTTCACTCAAAATCAATGCATGCAAGTCCAATGAGGTCTTCAGGTTAAATTATAAGAGGCTATGAGTAAATATTTTTTGTATTTTTCTTAGGAAGGAAGCAGCCAGAACCAGATCAGATCTCTTCATGATGAACTGGAAAAATGTCAGAGTGAAATTTCTGAGCTCAAAAAAGAGAACTCACTTTTGAAGGACACAATGGAATTACTCAGTGCTGAGTTGGAGACACAGAAGCAAGAACCTGCACAGCTTCAGGATAAGGAGAGACAACACAAAAGGTTTGCCTTAATTTCACTTCACAGTGCTTTCTAGGAAGTGTTTTACTGAAGCTAGTATTAGAGATGTTCTAACTGTAATATTAGAATTTCTTTTTTTAAGTACTAATTTTACTTATAGATGCTGGGAGTTCTGCAAAACCAATAGTATCATATTCTTTTTTCCAACCATTCTGAAAAGCACTTGAAATAACTGTTCAGTTCTACATCATGGAGAAGTTTGTCCAGTGTGGCCTCACAGGGGTGACCAGAAAAAAGCTGCATAATGCTGACTGAGTTTGAAAAGGATTGGAAACAGTAAATCCCAAAGTCATTCAAGACATATTAAAAAAATGTAGAAGTCTCTGAGAATAAATGTTAGCTTTTTAAACCCATTCTCTGTAGCTGAAAACAATGGTAAAAGCAACACCTGGGAACGCTGTATGTACTCTCTGTGATTCTACTGTGGCTGTAGCAGCCAGTTTTGCCCTGCAGGGTGAGGCAGTCAGAGCAGAAACTGACAGAGCCTCTGTGCTTACAAAAGTCTGGACCTGTAACATGCTGTCCGGGCACAGAAGGGCAAGCTCATAGTCTTGCCTGTCTTTCAGAAGGTGGACTGCATCCTGTTAGTATCCTGAGCCACAGGCTCAGAGCATGCATTGTGTTGCAGTAGTAGCAGTGTCCCCATGTCCTCACAAGAAACTGGAGTACTTACTTTTTATGTGGGAAACAAGATTGCAGTTGGCCGGTGCATTTCTATGGCCAGTGAATCCTTTGAAGTTTCTGGGTCATAATATTTAACATGTTCTGTTTGCAAAGGGGTTGAGTGATCTGGCACAGGAATGCCTTTTAGTTCATTTCTGCAGCTGTGTGGAATGTATGCTCCCCACTACTCCATCTATATGTATAAGAGGAGCTTTTAAATTATATGCTTCATAGTCTAGAGAAATGCACTCAAGGGATGTCTCTCTGCAGGCTGTCAGCGTGGCCAGAGTAATTCTATTGCTGTCTACCAGTTGGTGGATGTTTAAAGAATGAGAGAGAAAGTTTTTTCCTCTGCGTTCTTTGGAGAAATACTGAAAGCATCTTTCATTTTAAGCTTTTGAAACAAGATCAACAGAAAGAATTGCAAGCGGAGTTTCATCAGTGCCCTCCAGCTGCCTTGGAGGAGTTGAGAACTTCTGTTCATGAAGAGAAGAATTAGTCACATGTCAGCGGCGAGGTCTGAAAGGCCTCAAAACGGTAAAGCTGCTGGCTGGAGGATAATCTTTACAGGGGATAGATGGTGTAGCTCTACTGTAGTAAACAGAAGCAGCATTAATGGAAATTATGTAAGGAGAAATCTCTCAAATAGGAGGAGAAAATCAAAGAGCTCAAATGGTTGTAGGCATCTGATACAGCTGCTCTGAGGTTAACTGATAGAAAATGTGGAACATCAGCCTGCAGGTCTTGTTTTGCTTTTGCAGGGCCAATAATTCAGGTAAGGCAATAGTTAAATTGGTGAGTGTATAAAAATAACAGCTTTTTACTGTAACCTTAACATCAGTCACCTTGTCTTCATTAATATATTTGGTTCTGCTGTTAAATTGTACAGTTGTTTCTACTCATTGTGGCTTTTTATCTGCAAAACTTGCCGAATTTTTGTAACTGATTATTTAAAATTAACACTGCTACTGTTGCCAAGTAAGTATAGCCAGTAATCTGCTTGAAGTAATCTTTTCTGTTCTCCTCAGTTGTGAGAATTCCACCTCAGGGACAGAAACATTCCATAAGGATTAGGATCAGAACAGTGAAAGGTTTTTTGTGTTTGTTTGTTTTTAATGGGAAAACAAATCCCCAAATGAAAAAGTTTTTCTAGGGTACGATGAAGCAGTAGCAAACAAAAGGCAGTAAGATAATATGATTCTTCAATAAATGTATTTCGTCTTGGGGGTTGGCATCAAAAAGCAATGTTATGGGTGGACTCAAAAAAGTATTGGGCATTTTTTAGTTTTTGATTGATGGTGCTAATGAAATAATAGTATTTTTCAGAATGTATTGTCTGTTAAAGACAAACACTGTGAAGGCATTTCTGTAATGTTTCTTGCTATCTTTAGAATGGTGGTAGGCATTATTAACTATTTCTAATTGCTTGCTATGATGGGATCAAAGTATAGCGTCAAAGTCTCATCTTAAAATCTCAGAGATTCCAATCTAATTTTACTTAATTCATATTATATTAAATATATGAATCTACATTTTGTCACACTTGAGCATTAGGATTGATGTATAAACTAACCATAGACAGAATACCACTACTATTATATAAAAAAACCCTCCACTTCCTGAAGGTTGAACAACGAGCGCTTCTTCTCCAAAGAACTTGGCTTTCTCACTGTTAGTATAGTTCAGCCTTGGACTGCAAGTGATGTGATGAAGTCAGGTCAGTCAGCAGAAGCCCCAGAGCTGTGCTGTTAGCTACCTTTCTAGCCACTAAAAGACCTGAAAACTGCATGCTTTCATCAATGATGATAATCTAGTATTAAAACATGAGAATTCAGAATTATTTTAATACTGATGAAAGGTTACTGGTAGCAGGCCTCAAAATGAAACGTAAAAAAAAGAACTGGATGTACTGAAACAAGATCACCAGAAGGAAAACAAAACTGTTATCTGATTTTAACAGCACCCAGGCACATCTCTAAGCAAAGAGCTTCTCCTTAGAAGCTGGGTATGTCATTTAAATAAGCTGTGACTCATACTGGCAGTGAGTTCTGTTTTAAATTATTATTATTCCTCCTGTATGTATATATTTAAATTACTTATGGATAGAATATGATGAGCACTGAAATAGAAGTGTATAGGTTTTTCCTTTGCAAGCAAAAATAAAGATGCATTGTAATAAACTGATTACTGTTTAAAGGAAACCATTATACAGTTTTAGAATAATAAATTGAACACTGTGCTTAGCATCTTACAGTGTTATGATGTATAAAGTCATCTTTATCACAAATGCTTCCAGAGACCTTGAGCGATCATCTTGCACTCAATTTTGTTCAGCACAGCAGCTGAACAAAATTAAAGTTAAGCTCCTCTTGCTCATTCTCACTCCCTTCAAATTTCTCGGGATGTTCTTGAACTGCAACCCCCACTTTATCATGGAAGTAGATGCATTTTGCAGCCTTCTTTGGATGTGGTTCTTCAGGCTGTACGTTAGAGACCTCCCACAAATAGCCTTTGTTTTTGACGTTGTCGTTTACTCAAATCTCAGCTGTGCAGCATAGCTCCAGCAGAGACCTTCCTGCAAGTAGGCAGGTCTTTGAACATTTATATGTTCATATCTAAACTGTGAGATACACTAAATCAAAAGTGCAATATTGGGTTTTTCTCATTCAAATTTTTCCTCTCACCAAAAATAAAATAATAAAAAAAAAAAAGGTATTCTGTATTGAACTTCACTATACAGTGAAAGGAAATGAACTTCATGGCTCTCAGTTTCCTGAGCAGCAAAATTCATAAAATTGGCTGATGAAATAATCAGTTGTTTTTTCCATGGTTTAATCAAACATATGTTTCCACACCATCTTTAAGAAGGTGTAAATTCTAATTTGAATCTTTTTCCTTGATTGAGGCATTTAAAGAGCAGTAATCTTACTACAGGCAATTGCCTTAGAGGATTCACTAAAGCAGCAAACCATCCGAGCCTCTTTTTTAAATAAAAGTTATAGGAAGCTTGTATTTCTGAGCCCTCAGTCAAACATGTTTGGAATTGGCCTGTATACTCCAAAATTATTGGGTCAGAAAGAGAACAAGTAAATAGATATGGATATGAATAGACAGAGCAGTACAGATTTTTGTCATTAGTAAACTAGATGGGTAATATGATGTGTAAGCTTAATTAGTATTTTACTGGGGCTGGCTTTCACAGAGGGTAGGCAGTTTGGTTTGGAACTCCACAGTGTTCTGTGTTTATATACAGTCTACGTACACGTGCCCGTTTTTAAAAGTACTGTTCTATTGAAGACTCCTAATTATGTCCCCATGTTCTAGTTTTGGAATTTAAACTACAGCTCAAATATCTCTTGAACCTGGCCTAAGGAAAATTTTTGTTGGTCTGCATCCTTTCTTTGGCACAGACTTAAAAAATTAGAAGAAAACACAAGAAAACCAGAATCCAGACCAGAAGATATACACCTTATAAGCTGCCTGCAAGATAAACTAAGTGAGAGAGAAGAAATTATTAAGCAGCTGGTGGTAAGATACACCTTTACATGGTGGTACTTATTTTGGCATCTGTTTGAAGGCGCTGTTCAGTGTTTTGCATATTGCTTCAGATTGATACTTTCTCTCTGCTCTGTAAGTATCTAACATAAATATGTTTACATACTAAAGAACATATAAATTTCTTTTCCCTCAGGAAGGAAGAAAATTTCAGCATTCACTTTTAGCCAGTACTGAATCTTACAGAAATCGATCTTTTTCTTTCACCCCTAATCCTGGCTGTTTGACTCCTATGAAGGTAAGATAGGTAATTCAATTAAAATTACAGATCATGATGTTTTGCCCCTTTTTAAGTCTTACAAATAACCAGAACAGAAAAGATCCTGTTAATTTCCTATAGTAATGTTATTCAGTAGAATTCTTTCCAATAGGCTCACCTGTGAGCAGGTTCTGAGTAAAACATAAACTCAGCAGAAGTGCATTGGTACAAGTTTTTAAGCAAATACAAAGCAGTGGATTCCCAAGCAGCTCAGTCTTCCACTGGATGAAGCACTGCTATTGATTGCAAGTAACTGGAAGCTACTTTGATGTTGTATGTATCAAGAAGGACTTTGAATTTTGATTTGTGCTACTTGCAGTTTGTCCCTGATCAGCACCTAACTGAGTTCTGTGTATATCTAAAACCTCAGAGTCAAATATACAAGTTGTTTTAATCAGACTACCTAACCCCATAGGTGCTTACAGCATACCCTGGAAAGAATGTATTCTAAATTAGAAAAAGATGGGAAACTTCATTTTTGCATGCTCTTCCCACATTGCCTAGGAATGAAGTATTGTTTTTATAGTATAAGTGTGGAAAAACGTGTGTGTGATAGTTTTCTTTTTATTAAAGCAGCAGAAGAGACCAGTTGAGGTGCCCAGTCGTGTTGTCAGTGTACCAAATTTAGCTTCCTACGCAAAGAGCTTTTTGAGTGGTGACTTGAGATCAAAAAGAAATGCTCCTCAAATAACAAAATCAACGAGCTTAGACCAGAGTCCTGGATGCCTCAGAGTGGGTTCTCCAACAGCACAGACTTCAGACAGCAGCACTTCCATAAGGTATTTGTTTATTTTGATGTGGTTTCAAGGAATTTCAGTGAATTTGTATTCTGAATCTTGTAGACATCCAAGCACATTACAGGTCTGGAAATAAACAGCGATGCAAGATTCCTGTCTCTCAGTGAATTCCATGTGATCAATTTTCTCTAGATAGACCCAGAATTTAACTGCAAGTGTAGACTAGTAACTGCCCAGCAGAGCTTGTCATTACAAGCGTGCCAGATACAAAGGGAGAAGCATTGGAAACATTGGAGTGGTTAATAATGAATGTGGCTGTTTAAAGCTTTGAGTCCCTATGAGTAATTCTGTTGAAGATGTGTTTCTTATTTTTATCTCCTTGTTTTGCACCCAGTTGATGTAACTTTAATATTAGGAGACATTTGAATGACCCTAGGCTAATCATTTGGCAAAGGGTTTGGAGACTTAAAAACTGATTAGCAGATACTTAGTGGTCTCTCAGTGTCACATCAAGATCTTTTGCTGTTCTTGATTTCAAACAACTTAGTTTAGTGGGTTTGTGCTGAAAAGCTTGTTTTTTCTTCAAATTTATGAGATATTATTTAAAGGTTTAAGATTTTCCAAATGTAAATTAACTCTAGGAAAGAGTTAAAAATATATGTAGTTAATACTATATATAGGTACAATTATACTTACATGTAAAAAATTACCTGTATACTTCAGGACAAAAGCCAGCCTTCCCAACTACATCCTAGTGGACAGTAATTACCCTGTACATTGAATACTGTGGAGTTATTTCCTGGAAGGCAGATGGTGCTGACTCCTGCCAAAGACAGTAACACAGAGTGCTGGCTTGAATCCAGCTTGGCAATTCCTACATCTTAGAGTTGAAAGCATTGTGTCATGCCAGATGACTGCCATGGCAAATCAGATTTGTATTTTAAAGAGTAATACATAGGGACATTAAGAGTAGCTTGACTGCTGCTTATTCTTTTAAATCCATCAGTCATAAAATGGCTTGGCAGGATGACATGGGATAAAACATTAGAGGGAAGAGGGACCCTAGAAAGCTGGTCAGTATTTTCAATGTTATTTCATTCAGTTATTTCATTTCATCATGTCCTATAAGCCCAGAAGCAGTACATCTCAAGAAAGAGGAAGGTAGGCAGGAATACCAGGAGGCCTCCATGGATCAACAAGGGACTCCTGGACTTTGTCATAAAAAGGAAGTGTATAGTGAAAGCAGGAACAGGTTATCTAGGATGACTACCAAGAGGTCTGAGCAGCCAGGGATCAGGTTAGGAAAGCTAAAACCCAGGTAGAATTAGATCTAGCCAGAGACATAAAGGGAAAAAGAAGAAATTCTACAGGTTTACCAGTGATAAAAGAAAGGCCAGGGAAGATGTGGACCCTTTCTGGAAGGAAACTGGAGACGTGATCACGAGAGATATGGAGAAAGCTGATGTACTCAATGACTTCTTTGCCTCGGTCTTCACCAGCAAAGGCTCTATCCACACTGCCCAGGTTGCAGAAAGCAAAGGTAAAAACTGGGAAGGATCTGCCCACTGTAAATGAAGATTGACCATCTAAAGTGCACAAGTCCATGGGACCTGATGAGATTCATCCACAGGTTCTAAGGGAAACTGGCAGATGAAGCTGCCTAACTGCTGTCCATCTTATTTGAAAGGTCATGGCACTCTGGTGAAGTTCCCACTAGCTGGAGAAAAGGAAAAATAACCCCGATTTTCAAGAAGGGGAAAAAAAGAAGATCCAGGGAACTACAGGCCAGTCAGTCTTACCTCTGTGCCTGGCAAGATCATGGAGCAGATTTTCCAGGCCTTACTAGGGTACATGGAAAATAAAGATGATGTGATTAGTGGTAACCAGTATGACTTTGGGAGTGTCAACTGATGAAAGATTGAAGATGAACTAGCAATGTGCAGTTGCAGCCCAGAAGTCCAACCGTATCCTGGGTTGCATCAAGAGAATTGTCACCAGCAGGTCAATGGAGATGATTGCTCCTCTGCTCTGCTCTTATGAGTCTCCACCTGGAGTACTGCATCCAGTTCTGGGGCCTCAAACAGAAGGACATGGAGTTGTTGGAGCGGATTCAGAGGAGTGCCACTAATCATCAGAGGGCTGGAACACCTCCCCTGCAAGGATAGAGCTGGGGCTCTTCAGATTGTAGAAGAAAAGGCTCCTGTGATACCTTACAGTGAGCTGCTGGTACCTGAAGAGGGCCTACAAGAAAGCTGGAGAGGGGCTTTTTAGGAGGGCATGGAGCAACAGGATGAAGGGAAATGGTTTCATACTGCAAGAGAGTAGATTTAGATTAGATATTAGGAAGAAATTCTTTACTGTGAGGGTGGTGAGACACTGGAGCAGGTTGCCCAGCATGGTTGTGGATGCCCCTTCACTGGAGGCATTCAAGGACAGGCTGGGTGGGGCTTTGAGCAACCTGGTCAGTCGGAGGTGTCCCTACCTATAGCAGGGTGGTTGGGATTAGATAACATGAACTATGATGTGAACTCATATGTGCTACCGTAAACTAAGTGAAATTAACACAAGTGTATTAAAAGCATTTTGAACCCTGAAAATTTGGGGATTATGTAATAGGATCAGTTATAGACGCCAATTAACATTGAGATAAAATGTTCAGTTCTAAATAAAACTTCTGTCCAATTTTCATGCACCAACTGAATATTTTAAGTGAATTGCAGCTGCCATTTTGTTTTTCAAAACTTCCTATTATTATACTTCTGAGATGTCAAGAATTACTTTCAAACATTCCTCTGTTGCTGCTTAGCTCCTTTTCACACTCTCCTTGTCTTAATTCCAGTGCTCTTAGCCCAGTTTTTGTCTAGCTGGCACGGATCCCACAGTTATGTGAACACAGATCTGTTCATTGGATTTTAATGTTTTTCTGAAAAAAAAAAACCCAACAAACTACATACTAAATATTGTTAAGATTGTAAGCAATGCTAACGTTTATTTGTTTGCACAGGATGCATGGCAGTGAACCACCACAAACCAAAGATGACCAAATACAAGACCCTGAGCATCAAGAGTGGTTTACTAAATACTTTTCTTTTTAAAGCAGATAATTTACATACTCCTCAGATTTACCAGAAAAGCTGTTTGTTTTCTGCTAGGGAATGTTAATCTAATAAGTTCTGCAACAAAAAGTGTCGAAATAGTTTCCAAGGATATTGTTAGGAACAACAGCACTCTCTTACATCTAATTATAATGGAATTACAGGCATAGATTTCAGCAAAATGCATTTTTTTTTAATAACCTCTGAAAAAAAAAAAAAAAAAAAAGGCAAAATTCTTAATACTGCTATGTAAAATTACTTTTTACTCAAGAGAATGTATCATTCCACAATTACATTAAATATTCATTTTGTCCTCTGATGTCCTGCTATAGACTCCAGATGAAGATATTACTTCTAAGTAAGTGATTTCTCTAGGTTTATATGCTTGCTTCATCAGCTGTTTTTGCATAGTAATGTAATTTTGTTTTAAATTGGTTTCTTGTAAAGTTGTTTTATGCTGAGCAGCATGTGATACACATCTAAGAATAGCAAGTTTACAGCAAGCTGTTTTAAAAATGTTTTCTGCTTAGCTTAATGGACTGTTTTGTATAGCGTTGTCATGTAATGTTCCTGGTGCACTTCAACTTGTGTAACAGTCAGCCTGATGAATCAGGATAGTATGTAAGTACGAACATTAAAACTTGCTTGTAAGTGACCAACTTTCATGGCTCGCAAAATAGTGCTGTTATGCTGAAGTGTGAGTCAGACTGAGGCACAGAACTGGGATGCATGGGAACTGCATGCATTGTCCCCATATTGCTCTGACACCCAGCAAAATGCCTCGTGGGTGAACGACTAAATTTATCAAGCCACACCAACCACCTTATTGCTGGAAGGAATGGTGCTATTCACCAAAAGGCACCTGTAAATAAAATAACATTCAGGTAATTCCTCAACAAACACGGGGAGAGGGAATTGTCCAACTAGCACTCTAGTGTTATGCATTGGGTAGCTCATCTGCAACTGCTGGAGGATTTGAATCCCATTTTACTCCTCAGCTACATGAAGAAATTAAGCACTTGCAGTGAGACATCCATCCATCCATCCTAACAAGACCCTTTGTGTATATTTGCATCATACTAGCAAGATACAATCAGGGGAAAGCAAGGACCATCCTTTCCAGAAAGAACAGGATGTACTGTGGAAAGTACACTTCTACCAGAAAGCATTCTGAACAGGAACTCTGTATACTTTCAATTTAAATATAAAACCAAAGTGTTTTTTTTCTCCAAAAAAAGAGTATTTATTTAACTTAATTCTATCTTATCTGTTTATATTTGTAGTACAAATTACATTATACAAAAAACAGATGAAGTAAAAAGACTATCAGGTTTTCATGTTTGCTTCATTGGAGCAGGAATGTTAGCAGATGCCTGTTCCAGGTATGCTAAGGGACCTTGGGGCATTTCTGCAGGTTTTTTGTGCTGTACGCTGATATCTTCCAAGACTTGTTGCCAGTGCCGCAGTTTACTCAAATGCTTCTGAATTAATGCTTCTTTTCTTTGTAATTCATTTCTTAACTCTGAAACATCCTGTGGGTGAAAAAAATAGGTATTAGTGAACAGGCAGCAATGCTAGGAGTAATAAAGAACCTTGCTTAACATACATCAAATTTTTAAGCCTGGCTTTTCAAGCTAATCTTAAAGGGATGCTTAAAAGCCCTTAAGTGACAAGTTCCTGCACATACACTACGTTACCTATGTCAGAGCTTGGGAAGTAACCAGGAAGCACTTCTGTGCTGTGTGGGTGATAAAGGCTGCACAGTTTCTTTCTGTAGATTTACTCAAAAGGCCAATTGTGGGCTGTGTGCAGCAGGGGACTCTGAACGGGGGTTCGACCTGGAAGTCTCCTGATGTCCCTTCCAACCAACCAACAGTTCTATGCTCATTACTCTAGCAAAACCAAACTCATTTGTTTCTTCAGATGAATCAACATTATTTGCACTCTGTTCTCCCCAGACCACCAGGCATCCTATCCCACTTCCTTAGATTTGTGCTGAGAGCTACACTGACAGCCAGGTTTTACCAACTTCAGGCACAGTGAGAAACCCAAAATTAGTGCAAATGAGGCAATTTACCTGCACTGCTGCGCACCATGTCTGGTCCAGTGCAACAAAGGTAAACCAATTTAGCATACCTCTTCAATTATTATTTAGCATACCTCTTTAATTACTTGTTCTGGTTTCTGGACAGACAGCTGCAGTCTTTTTTGTAGAAAAAAGCATTCCGTTTGCCTTGCAACATCCAGAAATTTCTGGATGCACTGATCCACACCTACAGGTAGAACAGCAACAGGGAAAGACAGAAAAGATTCTCAGAAAGCCACCACAGGCCCATAGTGGCATTTGAGTGTATGCTGCTAAGTACACCTTTTGCTACACCATCTGGAATAAATCTTACGCTCTTCTGGATGGGATTTCTGACACATAGCAATAGCACAAGGTGTGCATTAACTCTCTGCATCAAACACTGCTTCGCAAATTCTCAGCACTTACCTTAAAGGTGCAAGAAAACATTTTTTTTCCCCAGTAGTTTTATCATGTCTTCTATAATGATAAAGAGCGGTACAATAATCCGTGCACTGTGGCTGAACAAGAAACGTTGGCAGCAAGCCCAAGCGGCCGGCTCAGTGTAAGGCTCACAATACAGCGTACTGACAGGATGCTCCCCTTTCGCACCACGCCGCTACCAACGCTCTCCCACCCGCGCACATAACCCGACCGCGCAGCCACAAAGCGGAGCTCGGCCACGCGCCGGGCCTCACCGGTGCGGATCTCCTCCTGGTCGGTGCCATTCACGTAGTCCTGGCTGACCAGCGAGGCGAAGCAGGCCTGCGGGGTGGGAAGCGCAGAGGTGAGGGCGCGGCGCTGGACGGACTCCCGCCCCTCTCCTTTTCCCCCTCCTTCCCCCCCTCCCCCCTCCCCCGGCACCTCGAAAGACGCTTCCAGCTCGTCCACCAGCGTGTTGTTGGGATTGCGGGGCCCCGTCGGAGGCGGGATGAGGCCGGCCGGCCCGACCCCGCCGGGAGGTCCGGGCGGCGGGGGTCCCGGCGGCTGGTTGGCGAACATCCCGCCCAGCGCGCCCGCCATGGCGCACGGCTGCTGGCTGCTGAGCGCGCGTGCGCGCCGAGGCCGACGGCGGAGGCGGGCGGCTCCTCAGGGGCGTTCCTCGGACCCAGGCGGAGACGGGAGAAAGCGAAGGCGGCAGGCGGGCCTGCAGGGCGGGAGTCCGCGCCCCCAGCCCTGCCTTCCCCAGGTCCACAGGTAAGCGGCGGCTTTTTCGCCACTTTTCGCGTTTGAGTTTTGGTTTCCTCCCTGACGGCACCTCCCCCGTTCTCGAAACCAAAACCTCTATCCTACATCACGCCCAGTCTGCGTGACGCAGCGCTGGTTCTGCAAGCATTGCCACAGCTCACAGGAGCACAACCACAGGGGAGGGCACCCCCAACACGCACAGCTCCGCTTCCCCCCCACCCCCCCCCTCCCCCCCCCCCCCCCAGTTCTCTCTTAATCAAAACACACTGTGCAAGATTTATTGTTTACAAGAACTGTGCTTGCTTCATACATACAGCATTTCCCATGGTCACAGTCTGGTATTAAATACCTCAGGATGGTCCAGCAGCGTATTTTTACTTTAAAACTGTGTAATAGAGGAAGAAAAGTCTCACAAGTGAGATGCTCTTGATTTATAAAATGTGCAGTTCATCACTTCTGTGAAAGCATGTCTGGGGTACTCACTTATCCAGACTGCATTTTTTTTTCCTTAAGGCAGAGTGGATGATTTTAGAATAAACATGTAAGCATTTTATTTGGGACTGTGACTGTCTTGGCTTAACCGAGCCGCAAACTCCACGAGCGTCCTGGTGGGGCGCCCAGCCATGCCCTTCCGCAGGTATGGCACCTCGTCCTTGTTGGCCATCACACCAGCAATGTCCAGGTGAGCCCAGTGAGGGGCCGTCACAAACTCCTTCAGGAAGGCAGCAGCCGTGCACGCTCCTCCAGCTCTGCAGGAAGCAGAAAGAGGGATCGTTTCTAAAGCAACACCGCCAGCCCAAGTGCTGGGCTGCAGGCTGGGAGGACAGGGTGTGAGAGATGGTGCAGCATTACCTGCTGTACTTCCCAATGTTACTCAGGTCTGCGAGAGGGCAGTCTGTTACTTGTTTTGTGTAATGTTCAAAAAGAGGCATTCTCCACACTCGGTCTCCTGTCACGATGCTGGCCTGAAAAAGAAAAGGTGACACTGAGCAAAGTTCACTGCTCATTTTTGTGTGAGTGGGTTGCTGTTTTTTTCCTCTCCCTCCCATTTTTAAACTGCATTTATAAGCACCAGCATTGTGCATTTTTATCCTTTTCTAACTTTGACCACTCTGTAAAATTTTCTATGGTCCAAAATAATGTCAGCTATTTGGAAATACAGTGCAAACAAAACTGAATCCTATTTTGGTGGTGGTAATCAAAAAGCAAAATATAAAGAATACTTCTCTTCCCTATTAACATCTTTTCCTGGTAATATACATTTTCACAGATCCTTCCCTTCAGAGACTCCCATGTCCATCACACCTCAGGCACTTGCAAGGTGTGAATGTCTCTTTTGGTCTGGCTTTTAACAATACCAATTACCTTTTTAACAAAATCTAATCACTGTCAATAATCCAGAGCTTCTACACATGCAGTATGTTGTCAAAGGGTGCCAACGCCACTCAAAATCACGATGCATGCTTTGTGCTGTGTGATATAAATCCAGGAGGCAGCAATTAAGGGTCTTAATTATGTATTTTTCAATTAAATACAATACTAACACATTCCTACGAGATTTCAAATACAGTAACAATTAGAGTTGTATCAGGTAAGACTTTCTTTAAAGAAAGTCACTAATTTTTTAGTAACAGCAGCTATTAACAAAATTATCATTTGATAATAATGCTGATGGCCTACCTCATAAAGGTGATTCCAAAGCCAAGATGAATTTGTGAACACTCCAGTTGCAGCAGACCCCAATGCAACATCCATGGCACCTATAGAAAGACAGCTTGAAATTTATACGATGAGTGCAAAGGTGGACTTTGCAGTTACGTTAGTTAGACTTTGGAGTTATCCCTGCATACAGACTCCTCACAGTACTTCCTTTTCTAATTCTCACTACCAATGATTTCTGAAGTCCACAAGACCTACAGATTTTAGTGCACTTTCACTTATTTAAAAAAAAAAAAAAAATTAAAGTTGCTTAAAGGCTAAACTAACAGGACAAGAATTCATGAAAATTACATTCCAGATCTCATAAGAATTGACTGTTTTCAGCTTAATAGTAATATACCTAATCTAATGCATTCAGCAATAAGTCTTTTCTCAAAAAAAAAAAAAAGAAAAAACAAAAACCCACTAAATGATTACAGTTTCTACATAGAAAATCAGACTTTTTCAAGTTTATGAACTCATCCAATTTTCTATCTGGTACTTTTCCTTCTGTGAACTGCACCCACAGAGGTTGTTGCACAGCATACACAAATTTAATTTAAATGACAGTAATCACCATCAAAATAATAAACCACGCCTAAAGCAGAGCGATCACATACACAGTTACTTTTTGTTTGTCACAGATCTGCTTCTCTAATGCTGATGCTATTTCAGGCACTCAATCCCAGGGAGATTTAAAAACCAAAATACTCAGTGTCAGAAATTTCTGCAGGAGCTGTCCTCCTTCCTGCCTGGTGCCAAAGGATCCCAAACAATAGCCTGGAGTGGGAGAAGCCCATTTCTCCTGTCATGGAAATACTTTTACACAAGTCAACCATCTTAAAATCAACATTGCTTCTCTCTATAAACATTTTCCAAACATTTGAACGTGTTAAGCTTGAGGAACATGATTTAAAGCAGAGAGAGGTGATTATTTTTCTCAGCTTGTTTATTAAGCAAAACAATGGACTCTTATTTGATCTGTTCTTCATATTTGCTCACATTTCAGCAACAATCTGTCATACCTGAAGTGATTGTAGCTATGATAGGTTGTTGCTGCAGTTCATGAGATGCGTACACAGTGCTAATTTTTACATGTTTAAAATTATAACTCCATTTGCATATAACTATTGAGAAGAAACAGAATGTTTTATGTTTGCGACTATGCAAAATGCACATGAAATAAGAGATGTTTCAGGGAGAATTTCTTTACTATGAGAGTGGTGAGGTGCTGGAACAGGCTGCCCAGAGAGGCTGTGGATGCCCCGTCCCTGGAGGTGTTCAAGGCCAGGTTGGATGGGGCCCTGGGCAGCCTGGTCTAGTATTAAATGGAGAGGCTGGTGGCCCTGCATGTGGCAGAGGGGTTGGAGATTCATGATCCTTGAGATCCCTTCCAACCCTGGCCATTCTGTGATGTTTCACTGAAGTGACTTCCTGAGAAGATGGTATTGATTCTCCTATTAGGTAGGATCATGGAGATTGAGATAGCTCAGGTAATGGAAGAAGTGGTGCTGGGTAGGTCAGAACGCAGGCACCCAGGAGGCTGTTCACAAAAAGCTGTTTTGGCTTCAGCATGGCTAGTGCCAGAACTAGCAAAGTTTTCCACAGCTTCACCAGTATCTCTGCACCACATAGCCATCTCTGGGGGTTGAATGTGCTTAGGCAAGATGTTGAGTGACATAATTGCCTGGAATCTACTATTAAGCTCAGCCAGAAACAGAAGCATGGGAAAACTTCGTGCAGAAACATTCAAGTCTGCATAAGTCCTCCTGGACTTACCCTTTCCAGCTTAGCTGGGCCAGGCCCAACTTCATCTACATTGCTTACTGTGCTCCCTGCATGCCAATACCCCCAGTCTTGGAGACATGTTGCAGCTGTACAAGTTGTTAGAACAGAATTTGTGCAAGCTCTTGTCCTGCAGCATGCCAAGTCATCTCACCTGCTTTCAGCTTCAGGCTGTCTTTGTATGCATAGTACAACAAATTCACAGACCATTTAATGAGAATAACAAGAAGTTGACTTCCAAAATGAAGCAGGGAAGGGTGACTGCTTACCTGTTAATGTTGCAGCATTCACAATAGCCCTTGCATTAAAACTGTGGGCATAACAGAGAGCATCAGCTAATAGCAGTCTTCCTTCTGCATCTGTGTTATCAACCTCCAGGTGGAAAAAAAAAAAAAAAAAAAAAAAATCAATAAGAAGAGATTAACTACTGAAAACACCCCATTAACCAACTTATTTTTCGCACATTCTCTTGAACAGCTGTCAGATTGTGACTACACTGTCACAAGCCCAAGGAAATTAATCAAAATTTCCTCAGAGAAATATGGCTCATAGAAACTGTGAAGGAGAGGGATCCACAAGAATGCACAGATGTGTGCCAGGAAGTGCTTCCTTGTGAAACTGCTTTGTCTTTGAATCTTGAAACTTTTTTCCTCTAAAGAAGAAAACAGATGCATGGGCTACTGATTTTTTCTCCTTTCAGAGAAAGCTTATAATGAAGTCTGCAAGATCAATTGCACGCGCTCTGACCCACTAGCTATTTCTTCTAGAGTTCTCATTGCAGGAGGAATATGCATGCAGTCTTCTCCCTCCAAGCTGAATGCCACCAAACTCAGTACTGCAGAGAGAACCTCAAGGTCAAAGCTTGAATCACAGAAATCCAGACAGAAATATTGAGTAAGCCATCTTCTTCTGCACAAAGTCAGCAGTCTACTGCACAGTAACTTTCTGCACCATTTAATATATTGAATTAGTATAGCTTGGATTAAATATGAAATAATAGTATGGCAGTGTGCTTTGAATTGACAGATCTTACGATGTTCTGCTTGTACAGAGCAGCTGGCATGGTAAAGACCTTAATTATATCAACAGGGAACTAATACACTTACATCTTACTCCAGACAGCAGGTGACTGTCCTCAAAGGTGTACCAGAAGCAAGTTGTGTTTCTCATTCTGAGAGCCCGTGTTTATAAGCATCGTTGCAGCCTCTTGAGCTGACAATATTTTGTAGCATGTTCATTGTTACTATACTTTCCAGTTTTTATTAGGGATTTGTAGAACATGTTTAAATATGTTTGAAAAAAGCCTGTGATTGCAATTCCTAATTAATAACATACATTTGTAAATAACTTAC